ATGTAAGCACCTGATTATTTAATTGCGCGATTAACAATCACGTGTCGTAATAACATCATAGTTAAATAACGGGATCGTCAAAATCATGTGGAAAAGTATAGAAATAATTGGGGGGGGGGAAATTACTTATATTTATGCTGAACTCAGCATGAATAAAGCGTGTCAAATGCACGATTTAAAATTTGCATGTCATAATAGAATAATTGGAATTTTTTATGATACGTGGGAATGCATAGCAATAACTGCCGAAAAAATTGTTAAAAAAGAAAGAATTTAAAAAAAAAAGATGAAAAATCACTTATATTTAAGATGAAATCGTCACAAATAAAGTGATTATTTAAATGGGCGAACTGAAACTCGCGTCATAATAAAAATTCGGGATTTTCGAAATCACGTAGAAAAGCGGAAATAACTGTTTTAATAAAAAATCATTTATATTTACGATAAAATCGGGTTAAAGAAAGCGCGTTAAACGTACATTTACTAAAAAATCTGTTAAAATTGATTGTGTCAAAACATGATGACTTAAAAGTGCGATTAAAAATTGCCATTTTTTAACAAATTTTTATTGTGTTTAGAAGCTCTCGCGGGCCGCACTTCAGTAGTTGAAGGGCCGCATTTGGCCCACGGGCCGCAGGTTGTGCACCCCTAGTTTATCATTTCTTTTTGAACTTTTTTTACCTTTGGAGGTAGACTTAGATAAAATGAAAACCTTCCTGCAAACATAATGTATAAACTTAGTTGACATAATTTACTCCTGTAACTAGTTTTAACCCTTTTTTGCCACCATTATCTGACAAATTTGCTTAAAAATCAATGAATTTTTAAAAAATATTTAAATAAGTTACGTGAAAAAACAAAACAAAAAAAAGCTAAAAATTTAAATCCAAAATGTTATGATGTGCAAAACACTTTTTTAATTAATGAAAAAATACAAATAATTTAAACAAGAAAAAAACGTTTGTTGAAAGCATTTCTGCACAAAATGTTATGAAACTTTTAATAACATCTTCTAATTAATCTCAATGTGAGATCTTTATTTATTTAAATTGTGTGAATATGAATCTCTGTGTTTGATTTTTAAAACAAGCTAATGTGAATCTGAACTTTTCATTTTAAAATCGAGTTTATACATACATTGATCTTTGATTTTAACATCATGTGAATATGAATCTTGATGTTTTATTTTAAAATCCCATGAATATAAATTCTAATGTAAATATTTTTTAGGTCACTTGAATATAAATGGTAATAGTGGCTTTTAAATTGTATGAAAATGATATGCGATAATTGATATGAAATTGTGTAAGTACGAAGCAGGAAGCACAGTGGTAAATCATGTATATAAGGATGTGTGATTTAAAATTGTGGGAATGTAAATTTCAATTGAGTTTTTAATGGTAGGAAAAAGGATAAAAACGATTTTTTTTTCCTCAGAAAAAAAAATAACTATGGTACTTGTTAAAATGCGGGAGACCTATATAAAACACTATACAAGTTATCCATGCCAGCCAACGATTTGATTGGAATCCTTCAAGGTTGATTCTACTTTTTCCAACAGTTTCTTTAATTGCTAATGACTGAATTATGAAGAGACTATCAGAAAAAAAGAAGTATAAGATGATAACCTTACTGAATATCTTTCCAATCTTGACTTTGCAGATGGCTTATGTTAAGTGATCAACACCCTTCAAGATATGCAAACAAACACAAACATCATAAGCATAGAGGCAAAGAGAATGAGGCTTATGATCAATCAAAAAAATTCTGAAAATTAATCCTAAACAATTAAATGACATATTCGTAGAAAACGATAAATTAGAGTAAGTAATTAAACAAGTTTTTGATTGGAACCCTCAGAGCAATAGAAAAAGTGGAAGACCTAAAAATATTTGGCTCAGAGCAATTGTAAATGAATTGAAAACAATAGAAAAAATATGAGGAGGCGCAAAATATCTGACCACAAATAGATCGAGATGGACAGCTATGATAGAAGCCCTATGCTCCAATTTGGAGTGAAGAAAAGAATATGTGTGTGTGAACAAGAATCATTAATGTCTATTAAATTGCATTAATACGTTATGCGATTTTTTATATGAAATTTTTGAAATGCGAAACAGGATGCACAATCTTAAATCATATAAATAAGAATCATCAGGTGGAATTTTTAATCATGTAAATTTAATTTTAAATCTCGTTTCCATTGGTGAAAAAATTGTAAGAACATGGCTTCTTTTCTCAGGAAAAAAATTTTTTATTGCTGAAATCTATGAGACCTAAAAACATTTTTCTAATTTTTAGCCCTTGCATTCCAAACCGAAAAAAAAAAAATTTTTTTTTTGAAAATTTTTCAAGCTTTTCACTTGACCAAACTAATAAGTGTTACTTATGAGTATTTTGCTAATATTTTTTTTTTTTAGCTAATATTTTTTGACTGATTAACAAATACGTATAAGGTTAGTTGAAAGTTAGGGAGAACACTGCTGTCTATTTTCCTGTGTTTGAACTGATGTAAAATTACTTTTTCTGGATTGTCAATATTTCAAGGAAATAGCATTAGAATATGCTCTGAATACTGTATTTTTATTATTATTACATTATTGATAGACCAATCTGAAAAGACGTTAAAAGCGAGTAAGAGTCATTCATGCATGAAGTCAAATCTGAATTCCATATAAACTTAAAAGTTATATAGAACCAAAATATATGAATTTTTTTTAAATGTAATTCAAAAAAATTTTTATTTTTTTAAATTTAAGCTATGTTTATTGTATGACTTGTATTCATAGTTTTTGCCTGAAAGCAATAGATGGGAAAGTATAAGGATATTTTTTCTAGCAAGATGGTTTGCTAATCAATGGTTTGCTTAAAAAATAACACTCTTAAATGTATGTTTTTGTGTATATAAAAAAACATATTCGTGTTATAAATCAATGATTTTTCAATCAATCAATAGTTCCTGAATCATAGATTTTTTAAATTTTAAGCAATTTTTTGAAAATTTTATAACTAGGAAACTACTGAACCGATTAGAATTACTTTGTTTAATAGGGTGTAAAAATTTATGTAGAAACTTTGAATTTGCCTCTAAACACTCCTCAGATATTGTCAATGCTTAAAAAAGCCTCATGCTGAAACTATTAAAACCATACTTTTCAGAATTTGTCTACCATATTGAAACAGCCAAAATCATAATTACATTGAGAGAAAAAAAAACATGTTTATTCAGAAGAAGTATGTTTTGTTTCTTTCTTTCTGTTACTTGATAATTATCATTAATAAATTAGCATATATGAGGTTTTCACTTTTGAGACATTGAGGTTGCCTCTTATCAGAGCATTAGAACAAACATTATTAAATGTGATATTTTTATTTTTTGAGCATTGCACCTGTTGACATAATTTAAATTTTAGTTTTAAGAGCAATTATTATTAGGAATTAAAAAAAATTTCTTTTTCATGTACTAAAATATTCTATACATAATATAATAACACATTTTTTTTCTTTTCAGATGTGCTTTTCTTAAGCTGGATAAAGTGCCCAGTATTTCACGACACTTGATGTTTATCTAAGATAATAGCCAAGAAAAGAGTCTTCTTTAAACTAGTTTCTACTGCCGCTGTGAAAAATTGAAGAAAGGCATTTTTATTTCCTAAAGACAATAACAGTATTACACCGTATTTAAATATGATGTTTGTTTAAATGTTATTCATTCATTCCATTCCATTGTATAACTTAACCCCTTATTTCCGAAGCGTCACGAAAAAACATCTACATGCAAACTCCGGATAGGTGTTGTTTCGTGACTCTCCAGGTATATAAGGTGGGGAAGGTAGCTTCGCGGTTGTTGGGGTTCATTGGGGGAGGGGAGAAAATAGGATTGTCAGTNAAGGTAGCAGTCAGTATGAGTTTAAAAGACAGTGACTTGCCTAAAGAATTACTCACAACAACTTGCTCACAGGAATTTAGTCTCACAGATGAGAAACCTCATTCTTTTAGTGCATGTAGCAGGAATTATTCACAGAAGGAAAGTGTAACTGCACACAAACACATCCATACTGGGGCAAAACCATATTCTTGTAGTATATGTAATAAGAGTTTTTCAAATAAGCGTTTACTATCTACGCACATTCGCATTCATACTGGTGAGAAACCTTATTCTTGTGGTGTATGTAATAAGAGTTTTTCAATTAGGTGTAATCTAACTGTACACAGTCGCACTCATACCGGAGAGAAACCTTATTCGTGTAATGTTTGTAATAAGAGTTTTTCACAGAAGGTTAATCTAACTGCACACCAACACATTCATACTGGGGAGAAACCATATTCTTGTAGTATATGTAATAAGAGTTTTTCAAGGAAGGAACATTTATCTAAACACAATCGCATTCATACTGGAGAGAAACCATATTCTTGTTATATATGTAATGATAGTTTTTCACAGAAAGAAAATCTAACTCAACACATTCACTCACATACTGGTGAAAAGCGTTATTCTTGTGATGTATGCAATAAAAGTTTTTCAACAAAGGCGAATTTATCTATGCACGTTCGAACTCATACTGGTGAAAAACCTTATTTTTGTGACATATGTAATAAAACTTTTTTAAGAGGGAGTGCACTGTCTAAGCACAGACTTATTCACACTGGTGAAAAACCTTATTTTTGTAGTGTATGTAATAAGAATTTTTCAACAATCGAGAATTTAAATCAACATGTTCGAACACATAATGGTCAAAAGCTTTACTTTTGTGACGTATGCAATAAAGGTTTTTCAACAAGGAAAGCATTGTCTGTGCATGGACGTGTTCATACAGGTGAGAAACCATATTCTTGTAGTGTGTGTAATAAGAGTTTTTCAACAAACTCAGCTCTAACTTGTCACAGTCGCATTCATACTGGTGAAAAGCCTTATCATTGCAATATATGTAATAAAAGTTTTTCAAGACTGAGTATACTGTCTAGACACAGTCATGTTCATACAGGTGAAAAACCTTATTCTTGTAGTGTATGTAATAAGAGCTTTTCTCAGAAACAGTATTTAAATCAACACGTTAACACACATGCTGATGAAAAACCTTATTCTTGTGGAATGTGCAATAAAAGTTTTTCGTTTAAGAATAACTTGTGTAGGCACATTCGTGTTCATATTGGTGAGAAACTTTTTTCCTGTGTTGTGTGAGATAAGAGATTTTCAAAAGAGGATCATTTAATTCGTCACAGTCGCATTCATGCTAATTAAAAGCCTTATTTTTTCTGACATGTTATGGGGATTTAGCTATCCACAGTTATTTTTATTGTAGTTAGAAATCTAAATTTTGTAGTTTATATGGATGAAAAGTTATGTGAAGAATTTATTAAAACTGTTGAAGAATCTAATTTCTGTAGTTTGCTCAACGAGACATGATTCATATGAGGCTAATGCAGGCCGCACACTGAAGCGACATAGGGTAAGGAATCGATGCAACATTCGCACTTTTGAGCAGGAAAGACGGAGCATACTGTAATCAGGAAGGATAGGTACAGTTTTTGCACCTGCTCTGTGGGAATACCTAGATTCAGCAGAAATTGTTTGGTGTGACTATTGTACATTGAGTAGGCGACATCTTTATGCAATTATTTATCTTTTTTAATCTCTATTTATATTATATCAGGGTGTTCGGAAAGTACTTTTGTTTTTCCAACAGAGGATTTAATTGTATTTTTTCGAACCCAATTTCACACTTAAGCCGCATTATCATTATATGTTTTGAGAGCTGATATAGTAAGGCTTGTGTGTGAAAAAGTTCAAATAATTCTACGCAGCACTTTTTGATGGGTGCTCTTTTAAATATGAAGAGCAATAAGCAGCATTTTTGTCATATTTTCCTTTTTTACTATAGAAAAGGTAAAAATGCTGTTCATTCCAGAAAGAAATTAACCGATGTGTTGACAATACGGCAATGCCAGAACTGGTTTGCAAAATTTCAATCCGGCAATTTTGATGTCGAAGATGCATTGAGTACTGGAAGGCCGATTGAAGCTGATAGAGACACGATAAGTGCCACTGGCGTCGTAGCCATAGGGTATTAGGAAGCCAGGTATATAATTAGGAAGCCCCAATAATTAGGAAGCCAGGATCCATTATTGTGAGAAAATATTTCTGTTTTGTTGCCATAACTTCTACTTTTTCTCTCTCTTTTTTTTTACATAGTGCAACTTATTACACATATAATTAAAATAAAATTAGTAAAAACTAAATTACAAACAAAAAAATTTAGTGTATAAAAAAATAAAACAGGTGTTTAGAGAACTGCAAGAAATGTCACTGCCACCCTTTCCTTAATAAGCAGTAAAACTCTCTTTCCACTATTCCTTTTTTTCACACTGTTAACTGATAAAGATCACCCACGTAGTCATTTGAGACCTCGAAAATAGCCACCCTAGTTTACACTATGGGAAAATGGTATTAGCAGACCCTATGGGCTCGTTTGTCCACTTTCTTTTCTTTTTTTTTTAATGTCAGATTTCAACTTTGTAGGCTATCTATTCATAAATTGTCTCAAACAGGCAATTACCTAGAACTTCTAGGGGGGAATTCTTGTTGACATTTTCTATTTATTTTTTGTTGTTGGAGATTTTGTCAAGAAAATTTCTCTGACATGCAATCATTCTAAATCTTCTCTTACATACAAAGCGCTCAGAGTGTTATTCCATCATTATTTTAATTAGCCATTTCCAGCTCAAAATTTTGATAAATAGAAATAATTCTGTTTACTTTTATATTTTGTTTCATTCATTGTTTTAACTTAAATTATGAGTTGTTGTTTTTTTTAATAAAGTTTTTGTAATAAAATTTATTGTTGGATAACAAGAAGTCAAAAAATAAATTTTGGGGAGGTAAGCAAATGTTTGTATTAAATCACTTAATACATTTATTATTGTATGTTTATATACTGTTAGAATTGTTTTATAGTTTGTAGATTAAATTTGTTTATACATTATATTAGTTCATGATTTTATTGCTCATTATGCATTAATTTATTTTGAATGCACGGAGTTTGTTCTTATTTTATATTTATGAAATCAATGTAACTTTTAAATGTTTAAAATTATAAAACGAAACTTAAAATTTTTATGACCTTTATAAAACTTTGTTTTCATTCAGAAATTTAATGTCATGTTTATGTTTATAAAGAAATTTACATATAATTTAATAAAAAAATTTAGATAAATATTGGTTATTTATATCCTAATACAAAAAATTAACATAAATTTGCATTTTAATTAATTAAAAGAAAGAAGAAATGTTTTAAATGCAAAAGTTTTATTAAAAAATTCATATGATTTTATTATGCTCAGTAATAAAAAGTAATAAAAAAATATATTTTTTTTTAAGAATGGGGATAATTTGTTAAACTTAATTTATAGCAAATAAGTATAGCAAATGCGTACTTCATGTAATTTTATTTATTTTGTTGTTTTCAAAATAATATGGGATTTTTAAGTAATTATTTTGTGCTAATTAGCATTTTCACAATTTGTTTTTTTAACAAATATTTTTTTTCTGAATAAAAAGTATTAATTTTTAATACTGAAACTATAAATACTGCTGATAGAGGAAGGAAAATAAGAGTTCTATGTGTTGTCTTTTTTATTTCTTCGTGTACATTTATATGAAGTTTTTATGGTTGCCAAAATGGATCATGCTATCCAAGAAAACCAAAATATCTCCTCTTGTCTGTTTCTTTGCTTGAAAATAATAGAAAGGTAAATACATTAAATAAAATGTTCATAAAAATTATTCCCACAACAATTATTAGATATAATTTATCATTTCTTCAAAATATGAATACCAATTCTGTCAATCAACTGAATAACTTTATTTTTCCTTTTTAAACACAACAATTTTGATTTTTAAAACTATATAAGTTGATCCGAAACAGGATGAGAAAATAGCCTAACTTAAAACTGCTTTAATATTCTTGAATAAAGAAAACGAAGGAAATAAAAATATGACCACCGAAGCCGACGTCTTCAGGGGGTACCGGCCTCGGTAGCCATAAAAACAAAACCATTTCTAATTGAGGGAGAAGCAAATGCTTAAATTAGCTCCCTCAGTACCTCGATGGTCTTAAATGAGCAGCCCCAGTTAAGCATTCTATTAATTTGTTAAGTTTTTCTTTCTCTTGACTTTCTTCATCTGCACATTGTAATAGAGGGCGTTGTTTTCTTTAGTTTTTAGTTTTTTCTTTTCATTCTGCTTGCTTGTGAAATCGATGTTTGACCTGTGACTATGTGTGTTTTTATTTTTCTGATGATTTTGTTTGAGTTTCTTTTCTTAATTTGATATTTGTATTGCATGTTTTTTTCCTGGACTTCTATACAGAACCATCGGGGTACTGAGGGAGTTAATTTAAGCATTTGCTTCTCCCTCAATTAAAAATCGTTTTGTTTTTATGGCTACCGAGGCCGGTACCCCCTGAAGACGTCGGCTTCGGTGGTCATATTTTTATTTCCTTCGTTTTCTTTATTGATACTTTTTTCTGAAATTTCTGCTGCTTTTTAGCGCGTTTTTTTTTCAAAGAAGTTTTTTCTATTTAGAATTAAAAATATTTGTGTTTTCTTTTAGTATTAATATTCTTGACTTTTTCACCTTTTTTTTTTTGGCATTTTAGAGGTATATAAATATATTTATTTTAATCATGATAATCTCTACTGTAACCAATGTTTAAGATAATTTATCTAGTATCATTTTTAATGTTGTTTCTTCCATTTCAGAAATACAGATCAATTCAAATTCATAGTAAAAATTTATTATTACTTTTTTTTTGGTTTGTTTAACACAACGCTTTATAATCTTTTTCTGATAATTCTTTAAAAAGTCGACTACAATTTAAAAATATCAAAAAAATTGATCTCATTCGTGATTTTTTGATCACCATAAGATTACATGACATAATATTAAGCATTTTTTATTTCATGTCATTCTCATCAAAAGTTTAAACAGACAACATGTTCTTTTCAAAATAAAATTATATTTTTAAGACACATACCTATTGGGTTTAAGTAACTTTACTTTTAATTCAGTGTTTTTAAAGAAATTATGCTTGTCTTTCAATTGAGACTTGAAAAAGGGGGCATACGTGTTACATAAAAATTAAATGTAATACCGTCATGTGGGGCTACTTTGTGCAGGATTTCGCAGTTTTTGAACTTTGACATGTAAAAAAAACTATGTTAATTCAAACTTTAGTAAAATCTATCGATATTATTTTCATAACTGGACTCAGACGAGTGAATTTGATCAATATTGGCATTATTTGTATGTAATATTTACAAATAATAAGTCAAAACATACCTTGCACAAAGTAGCCCAAGTGGGGCTACTTTGTGCAAGGTATGTTTTGACATTGCGTTTTTGAACATTGAAATGGATGAAATTTCAAAAATAATAATTATTACATATTCATTAACATTTATAATATTGATAAATTTGAGCATAACATGACAGAACTTGCTCTTCAGTTTCTGTCAAAATCACCTGATGTCCTATAAAATATATCTTTATGTGTTAAATCGTTTGATTAATTCATTAGAAAAATCTTTGTAGAAGAAAAATAATAGTTAACCAGCACGTTTCACGTGTTTCTTGTGAATTTTATTAGAGATAGTATTTCTGTGGATTTTGTACTTCCGAGAAGCTTCTGCAATCGACATACCACCAGCAACTGCTTGCAATCATTGTTGCAGATTTTCTAAAGTGTAATCACTATAGTTTCTAGTTCCAGGTATTTTTTTATAGCGTCTGACAATTTTTCTGTCGAAAAAAAAAAACCGAATGAAACTTTGCACAAATAGCCCCACAGTGCATTTTCTTTCATTTTCCGTTTATTTGTTATTAATTTTCGAATTTTTTTAACGCTAACATGATATAATTGTTTATTACTATATAAATAAAAAAATTTGCACTTACGCCAATTGTTTTATCAACGTCTTTGCATTTCACAGCTAAAGTTTCCACTCACACTTTTCGACGTCCTACGTTCTCGAAAAGTTGTTGACATTGGATGAACAAAAAACACTCTGAGATTGTTTTAAAATTCGAAAAATTTTTTGTAGTAATAGAGGAGACTTTTATCTTCAAATTCCACACATTTTTTACGTGAAAAAAACATAATACTGAATAGCAGCACTTGAAAAGTGCCAAATTCGAATTTGCACAAAGTAGCCCCACATGACGGTACATGATTACTTCATATATTTTTAATACTTTATATGTTTTAATTTTTGCATATTTTTAATTATTTAATATAGGAATGTAACGAATATTCGTCTTAGCCGAATACTGAAGTTATTCGGCTGAATATGAATATTATTAGATATTTGACTTAATTTGTAGTTTGCGATTCCTAATTTGTATATTTTTTTAAACTTAATTCTTAAAAATGATTCTAAAATTATATATAAGGATGTAGATTACGGAACACTCTGCATCAAGATGTTTTAGTTTTCATAATTATTATATATATATATATATTATTTTTTCTCTTTTTTTTTTTTTTAGAACTCAAAAGTGNCCCCCCCCCCCCACCTCCCAATAAATTTTATCTGACGACGCCAATGATAAAGGCATTAGTTGGTGCAAATCGACGAATAACAACACATGATATTGGTTAGAGGTTAAATTAATCAAATTCAACTGCTTATGACCACTAGAAAAGGCCTGGGTTTAAGCTCGATATCTGGGTACCCCATGTTCTCACAGAGAGAAAATTTGTGTCGTCGCGTTGACGTCTATGATTCGCTTCTTAAACGTCTTGAAAATGATCTATTTTTGAAGCGCATCATTAC